CCGCGCTATAACAAACGCTATAATTCAAACGAACGTCTCACGTGCTCAACAGTATTCTCTCTGACTGCAGTTCAATTACTCATATTGTTCCGTCACGTTGTGACCTCTTATATATAAAAGACTACCCCCCCCCAATCTAGTAGTCTCCCGAGAATTCACGAAGGTTAGAGAAGGACGTGCCGTGATACTAGTCACGTGACCTCGCTGACGCAACAATATTATCTAATATAGAAAACAAAGACGTAAAAGAAACTAGAAAAAGACGACCTTAATGGTTTTCAGAACCACGTTGTTAAGTGCCGAGAATGTGGAGAAGCTAACCAAACGAATTGTTTACAATTTCTTATCATTAAAGCGGATATAAAACATATGATATATCTGCTTATTACAGAATATCTTATTGTTATGATACTTAAACTGCAAGAAAGGGCCTGATAATATTGTTGGAAAGTATATTTTCAATGTTTTAATTTACATAATTGCTAGAGGGAACTAATGATGATGATGTAATCATCTAGAACTTTTGTGGAGTATGTAGAACAAAGGGCATATTACAAATGCAAGTTATGAGAAGTCTGTGAAGAACTCAGTAAGTGCTTAATTAATAAGTATTGTTTGAGTTACTTCTGTAATTTAGTGAAAGTAAGTTAATAATACTTGGAGATGGCTGGGTAATGATGAGAAGGATGTACCTGATGATGACATAAGCTTGTCGAAACGTTGTAAATTTGCTGTTATGTTAAACTTATATTAAAATTTAAAGTTTCTCTTCATTACCCATTAAATCGAATTTGAAAGTAAGTTAGTTGAGTGCCAGAAAAGTTATTTAGTGTTAGAAGTAAGAGTTATCGCATCTCTTTGTCTATTCTTTTACTCAATTACATAAGTAAACGTGGAATTTTACGAGTATGTTTTACAAGTACATAAAGAAGGTTAGGCCTATATTCATTTCGGAGTTTACGTTGAACAATTCGTGTATTTGAATTTATGCTTAAAAGTAAAAGTGTACATGACTGTAGCAATTGTTTATTGAAGAAATAATTTGTTATCTTTAGATAGACTGGACTTGGCATTATTTTTACCAAGTAATCTAAAATAACCCGCCTAAGATAGAACACATCATAAAACATTACTACCAAAAGTTAAGTTAAAATTTTGCTATTTATTTTCTAAAGTTTTCTGATTGGAAACTCAGGTAGTATGCGAGTTTTTTGTTTTTTTTTGTTTGTTTGGATGGGCTGTTCTGTCGTGTGGGTGTTATACGCTCTCCTAAATAAATAAACTCACCTCAGTGACATACATACACCAGCATTCGCTCTCTCTCTCCACATATATTGTATAATAATCTCGAGTTGATGAGAATAATGCTCTGTGAGAGACATTTTATTTGTGGAGGCTAAACCTTTACAAGTCTGTCATATGCGCTGCCTCTGGTTGAAACATTGCATTGCTTAAGCAAGTTTCTACCTTTCATTTTTCACAGAGGCTAGCTCCCTAGTGACACAGCGGTATATCTGTGGACTTACAACGCTAAAAACCTGGTTTCGATACTCATGGTGGGCAGAGCACAGATAGCTCATTGTGTAGCTTTGAGCTTAACTACAAACAAACACAGAAGCTAATTAGGTCAAATGAAGATTACGTACTACCTTGTCAAATCCACTTGCAGGAATAAAAATATGCATTTTAATTAGCTCGCTGAGTTATCCTCATTGGCGAATTAGGCACTAGCCACAGGTATACATTCCCTTGATCTTCTGACCCCGTTGGCCAACTAATTTAACAGGCACCAATCACTGTTTTCGTCTGTCAGAAACTCGAGAGTTTATTGCCATATTTAAAACATTGTAGGAGTCTGGAAGAGTAGATTTTTCTCAGGGATTTGTCACAGATTTCCATAGACTTTTACAGGGATTTTACATATATTCTTCAGCAGAGCTTACTAGACTTTAAGTAGAATTTGTCTTAGAATTTTAGGAGGGTCTTACATTAACGTTTCCCAGTTTTGTATATGGATTCCTGTTACTATACTTCCGTTGGTTACTTAAAGAGATTTCAGTTACATAATTGAGAACTATTAAAGTTCTTGTCTTCCTCTGTGATAACAAGGTCAGTGTATTATTTTTGTACAGTTTTACTTTTTTGAGAATGTTCCAAGTTCTTCAGTGACTACAGAGTTAACTTCTACTTTTATTTATTTATATGAGTGGGCGGATTCACCCATAAGGTTAGTTTATTAAGTAAGAGTGTAAGTTCGTCTGCGAGTGAACAGTGAGATATTTATCGCATTTAGCATCATTTTCTTTCTTTATTTTGGTGTTAGAGTTGGCTTTATAGATTCGTGTTAACTTGGGAGCACTTTATCTTAGGGTAAGACTCACTTGTATGCTGGTCTAGTTTACAGGGAGAAGAAAGTGCTCCGTCTATCCACACTGTTCCGTTTTTGTTTGTTTTCTTTCATTCACATCTACAAGATCATTTGTCCTGTTGTAATCTGTGGTATTGCATTGAATTGTATAACAGGGTCTTATTGCTTGTACTGTAAACTGCGGTGACTTTTATTGAACATTTGCATTCTGTGTGAAATCTGTGTCCTGTCTCATTCTTTGTGACCGTCACTCCCCTCGGAAAACACATCTGCGAACCCCTGTTTTTGTAGGTCTTAGATTTCTCGTCTTTTCTGGAAACTCTCAATTATCCCAACAATACCACACTTGAAAATAGTCCGATCATGATGTTATCTAGCAATAAAAATGTTTATTCTAAAATTGATGGGATGGAAAAAGATCAGAAACGAGAGAGCATTTGGGATGGAAGAAAAGTCTGCATTACCCATTCCTGTGCTAGTTTCTGGACTTTTTTTTTTAGTTTCTGACGGAAAGGAAGAAAGAAAAACGACACCTGGACTCATCCCTACTTAAGCACCGCTACCAAGGTGATATTTATGGTGGAGGATGAGGGGGGGGGGGGTCAGTTAATTCTAAGTTAAATAAACATTTCAGAAATCAAGTGAGGAATTATATTTTTTGAACAATTATGCAATAAAAATGTGAAGCTCGACAGAAAGAAACAATATTTATTCTAAAAACAAGTTTTTTTTTCCAAATAATAATGATTGAAATGAAACAAGTAGTTTTAAGAGACATTTTAAATTCAATGTAGCCCCCCCCCCCTCAGTGGCACAGCGGTATGTCTGCGGACTTACAACGCTAGAATCCGGATTTTGATACCTGTGGTGGGCAGATCACAGATAGCCCATTGTGTAGTTTTGTGCTTAATTACAAACAATTCAATCTAAGTCATTCAATATTGATCAAAAGTTGAAGTTTCCCAAATGTATACAATTTGATAAACATTTTATCTTGTATACCTTTGATTTAACTTTCAAGTCTGTTCATGAATTTCTAGTTTTTCGTCATAATAAGAGTATATGTGTTTGTGTTTGTTTGTTTTTATATAGCGAAACCACGTCAGCTATCTGCTGTGTCCACCGAGGAGAATCGCACCTCTGATTGTTTAGCGTTGTTAATCCGTACACTTACCGTTACCTCATCGGGGGAATCATAATAAAAGTTAAACACTTTACCTGCTCGGAACTAAATGCTATAACATTTGTCTTCAAAATATCGTTAGTAATTGTAATGAAACGAGTTATCTTATTTGTGTACAGAGGAGGGAATGTTATTGTTTTCAATGGTCTACAGAAAGTAATGTATTTCGTCGGTAATGAAGTGCTGTGTGAAGTATTAGACTCATAATAAAAACAGCACAAAAATTTACGCATAACTCTAGAAGATAATGTTTTTCATTATAAGCTGAAGTTTCAGCTTCTATGTTCTTCTGGAATTATAGGTTATTTTTGTGTTATTTTCATTAGGAACTAATATTGTACAACACATATTACGGTTAATATACACTATACGTAGTTTCTCCTTGCGTAACAGAGCATTTTGATAACGAGAGTAATTTAGGTTTTGGGCGCTGGATTTGAAAATTAAGGATGGCAACTATAAACGGTCTTTTTCCTCGGAAAGGTAACAAAAATAAAGACTTGCGAAAAAAAGCCCAGATTCCAGTAAAAAGAACTCTCTCTTATTCCATAGATGATACTAATAAGGAAAACATACCCCATAGTTCGTCTATAGTATTCAAGTCGAAAGGTTTTAAAGATCCGAATGGCAGGTCTGACAATATTACTAAGGTTAAGCCTAATGCTAAGGCTAATTTAAGCGTCACAACTAACCTTGATGATCGAAGCTACTCCGTTACTGCTAATACTAATACTACTAGAGGAACAGCCAAAGTACTGCGGGATGTCAAAAACAATGCCTCTAAGAAGTTTTCTAATGTTAAATCAACAATTGATAACTTTTCACAGGTAAGTATCTGTTGCATTAGTTAAGAAGTACTTCAACTTTCAAGTTAAAGTAGCAAAAAACTAAAATTCACGAGTTGAGGTTAGGTATATGATTTATATAAATTTAATTATAAACGACCGTTCTACACTTGTTTTTGCTGTGATGAATTGAATGTGAATGTTATTAAAATTACAATGGTAGATAAAAGTGGAAGTTCCCCCCCCCCCTATTAAGTTGAAATAACACTGCCATGAATTATGTGTATAAAGAAGTCATACTTGTATTTTGAATTGCATATTTAGAAGTAATATACAAATTAAAAACTAGTATAAATTATAATGATAATATTTCATCTCCAAGAGGTCATTTTGGCCATCTAGTGATGATCTTTTGGTCTAGGCTTTCTCATTTTTTACCACTAATTACAAAATATATATTATGTCGTCGAGAAATTAATGTCGCATTTTGGAACACTTTCATTAACCACCCCACAAAAAACGTAC